AAATTAATTTAAGGAGGGGCCCTGCTATGGGGGAGGGAAATTCCTTTGGTCATCAGGTTGTGCCATGTCTATGGAGGGCAGACAAGTTGGGTCCCAGTAGTAAGACTAGGTATAAAGAGGATGATTCCTGCCAGGAGCAGGCATGGAATTCAACCAAGGATAAGCCTCTAACTTCACACAGGAAATGAAACTGAAGCCTGAGGGATTTAAGTTCAACAAACATGGGACTGTTTAACAAAAACGGTTATCTAATGCTTAACTCACAAGTTTGCTTTGAGAACCAGTAGATAAAAGACTGCAAACTGTAAACTGAGAGACACCTTCTTGGAATTCTCAGTCTTCTTGTTCCCCCCAGATGGTTTATGTTCCTTTGGCTCTGGCCACTCTGATTTCCTGTCTCCCTCAGAGTGTTCCAGCCCAGGGACTTCAAAAGAAGCTGGCACTGTACCTTGTTTTTCTTAGGAGCAAGTTACAAAGAAGATTGCAAACATGAGAAAAATTCTCCTTAAAGTGGTTTATCTGATTCCTGGGTCCCTAGGGCCTAGCTGAGAGCACTGAGGGTCTGGCAGGAGACCTGAAGCCCCTCAACACCTCATTCCCCAGGGATTAGCTGTTTATGTGTGAAAATGTCATCCGAGGTTATTTTATATATTTATTCTTAGTTATCATCTCTCTCACACACACTTCTATAATAACCATTCACAGACATACACAGAGACAATGTATAGGCAGAACATGGTGGTGGTGTGCCATGGAGTCGGTTCCGACTCATAGCAACCCTGCCCGGGGTTACGAGGCTGTAAAACTTTACAGGAACAGAAAACTTCATCTTTCTCCCTCGGAATGGCTGGTAGTTTTGAACAGTTGACCTTGAGGTTAGCAGCCTGATTCATAACCACTATGCTACACAGAACTACTATTAACCATCATGGTAGCAAACCAGTTGCCATCAAGTCCACTGTGACTCGTGCTGATCCCTTATGTGTCCGATTAGAAATATGCTCCATAGAGTTTTCAGTGGCTGATATTTTGGAAGCAGATCATCAGGCATTTCTTTTAAGGTCCCTCTGGGTAGACTTGAACCTACAACCTTTTGGTTAGCAGCTGAGCATGTTAACTGTTTTCACCACTCGGGAATTCTTTGTAAAAGGGAAGGTGGGAGTAGTAGCACCTAACTCCTCATCCAAGTACTGAGTCTTTCCCATGAGCCAGGTTTTCCTAAGCACCATTATCTCATCTCATCCCCACTACTGACCTGAGAAATGCTACTCACTCCTCCCCCTGCCCAATTTTTATTTTAACTTCTCTGGTAGCGTAGTGGTTACGAATCGGGCTGCGAACCTTAAGGTCAGCGGTTCGAAACTACCAGCCGCTCCGCGGGAGAAAGATGAGGCTTTCTACTCCCGTAAGGATTTACACCCTCGGAAACCCTGTACAGGGTCGCTATGGGTCGGAACCGACTCGACGGCACTTAACAACAACAACAACAACAACCAGGAAGATGCTAGACACAAGTGAAGAGAACAGTATGGGGAAACACCCCATGGACCCATCGCTCAGCTTCTACAAAGATTCATTCATAAGCAGTCTTGCTCATTTGTATCCCCGCCCCCCGTCTCTGTGATTCTGAGGCAGTAGAACCTTTATCTACTATTACAGGTAAGGGGACTAATGCTCCAAAACAATGGAAAAGAGCCAACACACACATGCTGTTTACTGTGATTCAGGCACCATTTCAAGTATTTTATTAAATAGTGTTAAATGTTATCAAGTCGGTTCCAACTCACAGTGACCCCGAATAGTGTTTCCAAGGAGCAGCTGGTGGGTTTGAACTGCCCACCTGTGGTTAGCAATCCAGTGCTTATCTTACAGTACCACACTAAGATTCCATTTAATTTTATGAAACATTTCATCCTCACGACAACCCTAGGAGTAGATGCTATTGTTTCCTTTCTACATATAGAGAAACGGAAGCACAGAGGTCCAGTAATATGCCCAGGATCCCACAGTTGGCACTTACACCCTAGTTGTTTGGCTCAGGGACCTGTGTTCTTAGCAGTCACACTGTGTCACTGCAAAATGAACATGAGAAAATGTGCAGCTTGGTTCATGGCACACAGCTCAGGAAATGACAGCCAGCTCCCATATATGTCATTTTGAACCCTGTCTGTGGCTCTGGCTCCATGTGGTCCAGGTAGACTGTGGCAGCGGCTTTCCAGAGCCGTGTGAGAATGGCAGCCTCCACCAGGCGTGCTTAATGAACAGTACTCACGTACACTGACGAAGCCTCTTACCCAGGATGGAAACCGATGCAGGGGTGGTGTGGGCGGTTTGTTCCTCAGCTCTGCCTCCCCGAGGTCAGCTCTGGGGATCTTCGGGCTCTCCTGCCTCTCCTTCCCTTCTAGGGGTGGCTCTTCCATCTCCATCTTCTCCAGTGCCTCCCGGCACTCAGCTTCAGTCTTCACCTTGAGGAGGCTGGAGGGGTGCAGGGCTGAGACAGCACCAATCTCAATGCTCACCATATGGTCAAAGCAGCCAGAGCCCACCTGGGGCTGGCTGTGGTGCCGCTTGGTCAGCTGGATGCTGTCCCTGGGGATGCTAGAAGTCTGTGCCTTTGGAAGGGTCTGGCTGCTGCCAGGGCCACCTTCTCTGATGGAGTGCTTTGTCCCAGGGTGCATCCTGCCCTCAGTGCTGACCAGGCCCTCATCCCATGAAGCAGAACCCTCCCCAAGGGTGAGAGGCTTCACACACAGCGGGCTGGTAGGGTCCTCTCTTCCCAGATGAGCCTGAGGAGTCCTGGCCTCTGCTCTTTCCCCAGAGTAGACCAGGCTGGAACCAGAGACCTCCAAGGGGCTCCCACCTCCAGGCGCAGGGTCCTTGTTCTGCAGGGCACCTGAAGGAGATGTAGGCATGGTTACCTTCAGGGAACCCTCAAGCTGGGGACCACAGTCTTGCCTGATTGGCTGGTTTCTAGGCCCTTCAGTAACAGCATCCTGTTCTGGGGTTTCCTGGGGAACCACCAACAACTTCCCCAAAGATGCCACCTGAAGAGCTGTGGTTGGGGCAGAAGTAGATATTTGAGAAAATCAAGGGGTGCCTCAATTCAGCTGTGACCCTATCATACATACCTGCAGACCCCAAAAAACACACAGGCACATTCCAAAGTATAAACACACATACATACACATGCCGGCCTACCTTCCAGCGCATCTTGAAGAACTCCCATCTGTTCCATCAGGCGCTGATTACAGCTTTTCAGGTGCTGATTCTCTGTCTCAAGCTGGGCAAAATTAAAAATGAACATACAGAGCACGCAGCCTACAGGTTCAGATACAGAATTCAAATGAAGATTAAAAGCCCAAGTCTCTGAAAAACAGCTGGTGTGCCACCAATCTGGTGCCAACCCTCCTGAAAGCACTGACCTCCTCTCTTCTTCTGTGCTAACTGGGTTGGGTTGGGATGGAATTCTATTTGGTAGGCCCTGCACTTTCTTTACTAGTTACTTTCAACTTTTTTCACTGTGAAATACAACACACAGAAAAATGCATACTGCATCAATAAATCGCTTCCCAAAAGATTCTGAAATTGATACCCATGTGAACCACTACGCAAGTTAAAAAATACGAATTTGGCAGCACCAAAGAAACCCCACCTCCCCATAACTTGTTGTTAGTTGCCATTGAGTGGCAACCTCGCATACAACAAAACAAAATGCTGCCATCCTCACCATCACTGGGATGTTTGAGTCCTTTGTTGTGGGTACTGGGTCACCTGTCTCATTGAAGGGTTCCTTTGTTTCCACTAACTGTCTTTTCTAGATTTTGGTCATTCTTGATGATGTATCTAAAGCAAGTAGGCCAAAGAGTCACCATCCTTTCTTCTAAGGAACATTTTCTTGTTTTTTTTTTTTAAAAGACTGATTTAGTTTTTACTCTGGCAGGTCATAGCATAGTCAATATTCTTTGCCAACACTACAATTTAAATTCAGCAATCTTGTCTTCCTTTATCATTGCCTAGACTTTGCATGCATACGAGGTAACTGAAAAGACCTTAGTCATCAAAATGGCATCTCTACTTTTTAAAACTCTAAAGAGGTCTTTCCACAGCAGATTTGCCCAATGCCAGTGTGTCACTTGGTTTCTTGATTGTTGATCCAAGTATAATGAAATTGTTCACAACTTTGATTTCTTCCTTTATCATGATGTCAGTCCAGTTGTGAGGATTTTCATTTTCATGTTCAGGTGTTCCTCCCTACTTGCCCCTTCCCAACAGACATTCCTTCATCTTCATCCTCCCGAAAGGTAAGCACTCTTCTAAGTTGATCATACTTGTTTCCTTGTTTTCTTTTGGGTTTGCCATGTCAGTATGCATCCGTACACACACTGATTTAATTGTGCCTGGTTTTGAACTTAATATAGTATGTATGAGGAGACTCCAAAAAGTTTGTGGGAAAAAATGGAATGAAAAGATTATGAAATTTTCCCATGAACTTTTGTGAAGTACCTTGGCTTATTTTGCTCAACACAGCAGCTATACAGAGATCAATTCTTGTTGTTGCATTGGCTCACCACCCCATCCCTCAGCCTTTTTTTTTTTTTTTAACATCCTAGTTATTGAAAATGTTTTAGAGAATTTATGCTCCTATTAGAGCATCCTAATGACTGGACTTTGTGTCTTATACCCATTAATCCTATTGTTGTCTAGATGATTCAATTTATAGCAGCCCCATGGGAAAGTACAGACAGAGTAGAACTGCCCCCATGTAATTTTTTTTCCTTCATACTATTTTCTTGAATTTTTGGAGACAATTCCCATAGCAAGTTAAGTTCGCATTTGAGAATTTCTACACAAATTGTTCAGTGACATTAGTTACATTTATCAGGTATCGTATCTTCCAGCCCTGAGTTTCCCAGGTAAAGATGTGACGAGCTGTTGAACTATGAAAGTGAATGCGGAAGACTAAGGATAAAGTGGAGATAGGATTGATAAGGACTGTGTGTGGCCCTTAAAAGACACGGATGGAGGCTTTTCAGAAGTGAGACTCATTGCTTCTCTCCAAACTTAAAACAAAACACAACACTAACCAGGAGCTCAAAGGAAACTCAACCAAGGCAAAAGGAAGGGAAAGTTCCTGCAATTGAGCTGAATGCAGGATAAATGAACAAATTACACAGTCAACAGGCAGAAAAACTCTAGAACAGCAGTGGCCCCAGGCACAACCCCATTCCAGGGCTCCCAAGCTGAGTACTTGACTCACCCCAGCCAATTTTAGTGTGATCCATTCCTTGATCTTTGCAGCTTTTTCTTGAACTATTTTTGCTTCCTCAGCTCTCATCTGCTTCTGTAAGGAAAAGAGGGTCTTTAGTTAATGACAGCAGTTACTGGTATAGTGCAGATTGGAGGTAGGAGCACAGCAAGGAAGCACCAAGAGACTGAATCCAGGTGGTTCATGAGAAAAGTATGACAACAGTATGCTGCTATAAGGTAAAAAAGCCAGACACAAAAAGCTGCCTTGTATGAGTCCACTGATATGAAACCCATCAAGACAGAAAGCAGGCTGCTGGTTGCCAGGGATTTGAAGTTGGGGGGAATAGACGGTGACTAGTTAATGGGTCAGGGTTTCTTTTTTGTGGAGGGAGGGTGGTGAGAAGAATGTTTAGGAACTATATAGAAATGGTGATTGTATAACACTGTGAATGTGCTAAATGCCACTGAATTGTTTACTTTAAAATGGTTAACTTTATGCTGTGTGATTTTTAACTTCAACTGAAGAAAAAACAACAAAAAAGACTAACAAATCTTTATCCTAACTGTGTGATCAAAACAACAACATAAAAGAAGCCCTTAAAATTAAAGGGCCAGCCGGGAAAGATCTGCAACATAAACAACATACAAAGAGTTTATTTGAGATGAAGCATCCAATAAATATGGAGTCCTGAAATGGCGCTGTAGGATAAGTACTGAACTGCTAACCATAGGTCAGCAGTTCAAACCCACCAGCTGTTCCTTAGAAACCCTGTATAGGGTTGCTATGAGTTGGAATCTACTCGATGGCATTTAATAACAAGAATAATCCAATAAATAAATGCAGAGAATATGAACAGGAAATCAACTGAAAAAGAAATAAAGGCAAAGAAACCATGGAAAAGCTGTTCAAAATTTGAAGAATGCAGATAAAAGCAAGACACCATCATCCTCTTTCAGATTAATACAATTTTTAAAAAGTTTGATATTATCCCAAATTGCCAAAAAGTTTGGGAAACAATACTTAAATTGGCAAAGGCTTTCTTGAGGTGGAGTGGTATAAATGGTTAACACATTCAGCAGCTATCCGAAAAGTTGAAGGTTCGAGCCCACCCAGGAGCACCTCCAAAGTAAGGCGTGGTGATCTACTTCTGAAAACTCAGTCATTGAAGCTCTCGCTACGAAGCACAGTTAACTTTGATGCACAGAGGACTGCCACAAATGGGAATCACTTTGACAAAACTTTTTTTTATTTTTTTAGTGGGGAGCAATTTGATGGTATCTGTCAACATTTTAATTGTACATACCATGGCCCTAACAAATCCACAGTCTGTTGCAATATTATCTGATAAAGCAAAACAAAACAAAACCTCAAATCTGGAAATAGCCTCAGTAACGGCATAACAAACATGGTTTGTTGTTGTTGTTAGGTGCCATCGAGTTGAAACTGACTCATAATGACCTTATGCACAGCAGAATGAAACAGTGCCCAGTCCTGGGCCAACCTCACTATTGTTGCCACGCTTGAGCTCATTGATGCTGCCACTTTGCCAATCCATTTCGCTGGGGGTCTTCCTCTTTTTCTCTGACCCTCCACCTTACCAAACATGATCTTCTTATTCAGCAACTGGTCCCTCCTGACAATATGTCTGAAGTATGAGAGATGACGTTTGGCCATCCTGCCCTCCAAGGAGCACTCTGGCTGCACTTCTTACAACACAGATCTGTTGGTTCTTTTGGCAGCCCATGGCACTTTCAATATTCTTCTCTAACACCATAACTCTAAAGCATCAATTCTTCTACGGTCTTCCTTATTCACTGTCCAGCTTTTGCATGTATATGAGGTTACTGAAAATACCATGGCTTGGGTCAGGCGTACCTTAGTCCTCAAGCTGACATCTTTGCTCTTCAAAACTTTAAAGAGATCTTGAGCAGCAGATTTGCCTAACGCAATCTGTCCTTTGATCTCTTGACTGCTGCTTCCATGAGTGTTGATAGTTGATCCAAGAAGAACAAAGTGCTTGACAACTTCAATCTTTTCTCCATTGATAAGAATGTTGTTTATTAGTCCAGTGATGAGGATTTCTATTTTCTTTACCTTGAGATGCAATCCATACTGAAGGCTGTGCTCTTTGATCTTCATCAGTTAAGTATTTTAAGTCCTCTTTACTTTCAGCAAGCAAGGTTGTATCATCTGCATACTGTTACATTGCAGTCTTCCTCCAATCCTGATGCCATGTTTTTCTTCATAGAACCCAGCCTCTCGGCTTATTTGCTCAGCATACAGGTTGAATAAGTATGGTGAAAGAAATACAACGCTGTCACACACCTTTCTTAATTTTAAACCATTCAATGTTCCCATGTTCTGCTCGAACAACTGCCTCTTGGTCCAAGTATAGATTCCTCATGAGCACAATTAAGCGTTCCGGAATACTCGATATTGTCCACAGCTTCTCATAATCCACACAGTCGAAAGCCTTTGTGAAGTCAATAAATCACAGGTAAACATCTTTCTGGTGTTCTCTGCATTCAGCCAAGATCCATCGGACATCAGCAAATGATATCCCTCGTTCCACGGCCTCTTCTGAATCCAGCTTGAACCTCTGGAAGTTCTCTGTCAGTGTATGCTTGCAGCCATTTCTGTATTACCTTTAGTAAAACTTTACTCACATGGGATATCAAAGAGATTGTCCAATGATTTCCGCATTCTGTTGGGTCACCTCTCTTTGAAACAGGCACAAATATAGATCTCTTCTGTCGAGGTCCAGCCTCGACAAGGAAGTGTGGGTGTCACGAAGAAGGGAGATCTGGCGGAGAAAGGGATAGAGAAAGAGAGAGACGAAATATATACAAAAAAGACAGACACACAGATATGATACAAGCTGGCAGGTAGGCAGATCTGCAAACATAGCATTGCACCCAGAACTCACTCTACCTCAGTCTTTTATTCTCTTTTTTTAGGGATGGATTTGTTACAAAGGAAGGAGGTAATTCACAAAGGGAGGATGTAATTCTTTAGATAAGACAGGATACAGAACTGAAATGTGATTAATTATTCAAAACAGGACATAATGATTTACAGGAACAACTTTTAAAATATTTTCATAGTTTTTCTTAACAATCTAACATTTTTATTTTTACAGAAAAAAGGTTGAATCAAGCAGTTATATATTAACTTTTAGGCTTAAATGATCTAGAGCAGCGAGGTGGGGTTTCTTAAGGATACTTAACATAAAGCAAGGTTCCTGAAAGGAGCCAAGCTGTCTCTGTACACTTTGCAAACTTTTTTGTTTGTGAGCAAGATCTCAGGCACTGGGCTTCATTTATCTACATCTAAAATGCTACATTGTTCTTAATGATCACATTCCTATATACTTTCAGGAGGAAGGAGAGCATCTGAGTTAAACTGATTATATTCAGAGGCCGTTTAATGGGGCTGCCACTATTATCCTCTAATCCAACATTCCCAAAATTTACCATTCCAATTTATTTACAAACCTTGGGTAGTTTTTCTCTAAAAACCTTTTCTCATATTCTCAATATACCTGTTCCTGGCCTTTCTGAATTATCTGAGGAAACTTATACTGCCTTGGCTCTAAAAAAGGGTTGGTTTCAAACCCATTATTGTTCATGGATATCAAACGTAACTGAATAATCAAATAAGGAGCAGTTCTGACATTCATCCCAGGTGGCTATCGCTTGTTCCTCAGAAAGATTTGTTCCCAGGACTCCACGCACTGCCAACACAGTGAAGGCATTAAGAGAGGCATTGTAAAAGAAACCATTTTCTCAGAAGCTATAACTACTGGAGTTAGAAGCATAGAATGAACAATATTAGGACCAAAGAAAATTATACAGAGGTAGCCAACCAGTGAGTTCGCAAAAACCAATGAACCCGGGACGTCAGGAGGTCACTTCCTTTGGCCCTCAGGGTCCATGGCTCGCTATCCTGAGGATGGCCTTGGAATTGGATTTTCGTCCATGTCACAGGGCCACTGATCAACCCAGGGTCTGTGTATCCTGTCCCCAGCACTTTTCCAATCAGTCAGCCAGATAGTTGTCTTCCAAATTTCTTGGCAGAGATGAGTGAGTGCCTCCAGTGCTGAAAGATTTCAATTTTTATTCCATCAATTCCTGGTGCCTTGTTCTTTGCCAATTCCTTCAATGCACCTTGGACTTCTTCCTTCAGTATTATTGGCTCTTGATCATATGCTACCTCTTGAAACAGTTGTACAACCACATAATGGAATGGTATGCTTCAGTACATGGAAAATATTCACAATGAACAGTAGCTAACAGTGAAGAGTGGAAATAAAGACTGGGGATGATTAAAATGTTTACTTGTCTTTTACAACCTTCTAATCTTTTTGTATTTTTTATCATAAACATAAATTACTTTTTTTAAAGTTAAAAAACACAATATGAAGCTGACAGCACACTAACTGGGATTTACCCAGAAATAATTAAAAGAGTGTACGATGACTGAAAAGGAGAATTTTATATCTATAAAACAGCAACCTATAATAGAAAGGAAGTCTGGGAATTAGGGAGTTTGCATGCTTGTCTGCTAACCTAAAGGTTGAAGGTTCAAATCTACTCGGGTATGTTGGAAGAAAGGCCTGGTGATGGCAAATAAACCATTGAAAACCTATGGAGAACAGTTCTACGCTGACACACATAGGTTTGTCATCAGTTGGAATCCACTCTACAGCAAGTGGGCTGAACTTTGGAGCTTTGACCCGCTCTCTGAAGCTTATTTTCTGGGGGCATTAGTCAAGAAACCCAACTCCTCTGGCCCTGCACTGTCTTGCGGGGCTGTTTGGAAGAGAAAGTGAGAGAAAGGACACAGCACAGTGGCTGACACATTGGTAATCAACCAGCTCTCAATTAGTTCTAGTGTCCTGATCTTAAAGGCCCAGAGACCATGGCACATACTGAGTAGTTTAGAGGACAATAATGACTTTGGTTATACGTATAGGGAAAACTTGTCTGATAAGTGCAAGATGTCAGGCTATGCTCAAACAAGAGTCAGGTTCTCAGTCATTCAGAACTGAAAGACCCCTAAATTATATTTGGTTCAGCAGTTGGCAAGTTATT